TCCGAATGACAGTAAAAGCGGCCTTTTAATGACACTTGACAGGATCAACAGTTGTATTTTTACTGCCTAGGCAGTAAAAGTGGACTTTTACTGCCTAGGCATTAAAAGTGACAGTGTCACAACGTTCCAGGTAATAATTTCACTCAATTTGGTATTTGAAATTGATGGTGACAATGACAATTGTCAAAATAATTAAATTATTTGGATAATAATAATGAATGAAATAAATATAAAAAAGATGTCCATGTGTGAATTTGAACATTCGGAGAAAAAAATATATGTTTTACATGGCAGAAAAGCAGATTTAATACCTCGGCTGGTTTCCTAGCCTCGGCTATGCCTCGGCTATGAAACACCAGCCGCGGCATTAAATCTTCTACTTTTCTGCCTAGTAAAACAAATAACTATTTGTCCTTAAAAAAAAACAAAAAACAGATGTATATTCTAAACTACGACCAGTATGACCGCTGGCGCAAACAGCTGATTTCACCGTTGATGACATCCACAACGGTGCAACACCTTATGACCACAACGGTGCAACACCTTATGACCTTGATTTCAAAAATCGTGGCCTATGAGCAATCTTGTAGTAGTGTGTATTATCCTTGGGAGCGTTACTCGTCTGAGGCAGTTTCTGAAAAAGTGTCAACTTACGGGACATGGTTTTCCATACCGCCACTCGTAAAGGTTTATTTAGCCACTGTAGTTTTCCATGATTTTCCTGTCACCTGACAATTTATCTGTCACCAAAGTAACCGCTTGTTACCGACTGGTGAGTGAAAGCCCATGAGCACTTTCCAAAATTCATCGGTTTCTGAACCGGTGCGATACCGGTTTAATAGTTTACTCTCCAAGTCTTTCCATAATGTACCGATTTTTCACAGGTTGAAATCAGAGCGTCCGATCCAAAATTGACCGGAATGATCAGCTGTTTGAATTGGAACTGGTAAGGCAACGGATCAACCGGGAATTTTTGTCGGTTTTTTCGTTTGGAGATTTTTTGACACCTTTTTTTTGACGTACCATCACAGATTCGTACCATCATCACCAAAAGTAACTGGGACCAATGAACTATAACCAAAAACTGGAATGCGAACACATATTGACGAACGTGAAGCCTAGTGCCGCTGCTGCGGAGGGGATACCTGTTTTTATCGCACTAATTATGTTAAATGGCGGAAATTGCTTCCAACACGTATTCCAATTGATGAAACCTGTGAAGGTGAATATGACAAAACTTTCCAAAACGTCATATGTCAGCGAGCAACAGAAAAAAACAACCCCTGCGTTTTTATTCTCACCAAATTTTACCGATGAATCCACCATTCTATGTCGGTCGTTGTCATTTTCCATTCACCAAACAAAAATAACTAACTCATCGGTGAAGTCACCGATGAGAATAAAAACGAGAGGAACATTCCCCTTTGTGGCATATGTCTTTCATGGCTACATTTTTTTGGCAGATATGGCAATAGTTGTATTCCTTTCAAGGGTTTGAAAACACTCGAGTTACTCGCACTGGTGTTCATTCGCCCCCGATTTGCAGGGAACAGATGCGTGGTGCAACAAACACTTTTCGAAAGGAATAAACGCGTGAAGCCCCGGAGCTGTTCCGGAGCTCCTCCTAGGTGTGAAAGGAATACAACTAATGTGTGGCATTCCAGTTTTTGACTGGGACAGCATCCCATTTAGGGGCGAGTTCAGGAATGACACACCCAGTGTGAGTCCAGGAGATTATTATGTATTATTTGTGTCCCAGATACTTTTGGTAACGATCGTACATCAATTGGAGTGCTTTTAGAAATGGAGTGTGAAGGTAGGAATTGTTTGTCAGAGTGTTCTAGAGTCGTCACTTGGAGTGCACTATTTCTGAACGTATTGGGGCGTTGCGGTAAATGTCAGTGTCATGAATCACGTCAAACCCCGGTGGAAACCGCGGAGCGTTTTTCAACCCAGCCTCTCTGGGGTGAGTTTAGTAATGGGACAACCAGTGTGAGTGTGACACCGGCGGGACGCCCTAGCTGTTCAAAAATGCTAGACGGTGCTGTGGGCCTAATGGCCAATAATTGCACCCAGTGCGTTATTTCTGAACTCGGCCCTGAGTGGGCTAATTTTGGCGCACTCTGGGCACGTCAACTTTCGATTTCTGAACGATTTCAGCAAATGCTCTGAGTAAGCACCTATTAATTTATGAACGGTTTAGAGTTACTCTAGGGTCACTCATACACCCAGAGTGCTATTTCTAAACGCAGCCTTGCTTTCAATGGGCACTTTCGGCAGTCGTTCGTTGAATTGTTGCAACACAACCGTCACAACCAAACTTTAACACACCAAAGCGTTTCAAAATGCATCAGAAAAATCTTGTAACCGCACTTACACCTAATTTTTACCGGAATTTTTTGATAGCTACCAGTTTATTTAACCGGTCAATTTATCGGTGAAATTTGGAAAGTGCCCTATATAGGGAACAATGGGAACATTCTAAGTCCGAAACCGCACAAGCATGTGTGTCTCGACCTTAACGGTGCCGTTCGTTCCGATCCGGGTACCTGTTCGAAACTACGAATCACACCACCAAGCCCCGAAGAAAGCGCCTATTTCGAGCACTTTTTCCAGTCACGTGAAACAGAAGACTGCTGGTGGCGCCACCATGAAAATTTTAGAAACTAACAAAGCTGACATCCATCGAAATAAATTTCCGAAGGTTCTCTTTCATTCTCGTCTTCGAATTGACAAGTTCGTAATCGGCTGAAATCTTGAAAATCTTCTAGTTTTTTTTAAACTAGAGTTTTCAAAACAGCTCCAAGATGAGAGCGAAGGTAAATATTGTTAATATTTTTTACTTATTTTGCTGTTTTGTACGTAATTTTACGAAAAAAACTTATGTGGATTTTGGTTGGTGATGTTTTTTCGACCCCGCTTTTTTTGTTTAACTACCAATCGCAAATTAATTTTACAGTGCTTTTAGTGAATATTAACAAGTTTAAGTGCTCAAATTTCACAAAAACCCAAATTTATAATTTTCTAGCATTTTTTTGTAGTGTTCAAAAAAAGTTTGGTTACATTTACCAAGCCTCGCACCACAGCCACATGTTTTTGTTAAAATGTTTGTTTGCATTGCATACAATTGAAAATTATAATCAAATTCTTTATTTCAGTGGCGTAAGAAGCGTATGCGTAGGCTAAAGCGTAAGCGTAGGAAGATGCGTGCGAGATCTAAGTAAGAAGGACCTACTCGCCCCATTTTTAAATGTAAGTACTATTTTTTTTGTCTTCAGTTCAATTATTGTGTGCCTAATCACTCCTAAATTATGTATTAACTATTCACCACTTATTAAGAAGTAATTTCAAACTGGTTAAAGCATGCTTAAGTTTATTACCAAAAGAAGACAATTTGAAACTGTTCAAAGCAAGTTTTTTTGTAATTGTTCTCACAGGAATCGTAAACCAGTCAAAGCGAATTTCATTGATTGAAAATAGTCAGAAAACTGGTTATTCTCGATTTGCACTAAATAAAACACTATGGTCTGGATTTCTGTGAGAATAGACCTAATAATAATTGTTGAATTTCAATGGTTTAGCTATTTAGCAATGTATAATTCCAGTCAATTAATCCACTTTGTCTAGAAACATTTTACTTTATCCTTATAGGAAATTCAAAAGATGCACGCAATTTGAAAACTTGAGATAGGTGAAACTCTTTTGAAAACTAAAGTTCAGTTACTACGTTTTCATGGAATTTTGAATACAGTCGATTTCAGTCTCAAGGTCGTTTCAACTTTTTTTGGGATCATATTGACATTTAAGTTTAGAAACTTGCAATTCGATTTCAATTACAATTTTGCCTCTGCATGAAAACAGGGAGAAGAGGATTGGATTCAACACGATTTAGAAACTCCATGAAAATGTAGTAAATGTTTTTTTTTTTTAATGGGCAAGTTTATTCTATCAAAAACAAAAAAATTTGCAAAATGTAACATCAATTCCCCCTTTTTACTCATTTACTTCGCATTGATTCATAGATGTAAATTATTGTAATCAGGGGCAGATAAAAGTTGTGACTCCACCCATGCATGCTTCAACATAGCTGTGATGGTCTAAGATCGCAAAACATTATTTAAAAAAAATTAGTTATTTTTGCCAATTTATAATGAAGTTTTTAGATTGATTATTTATTGTCCTTTTTTATTTTTAGGTGTTTTATCTCAGCTGACCTGTTCTACTTGAAGATTTCGGAAGATGTAAAATTCATTTTATAAAATTGTGAAAAACCCACTTTGGTTCCTAGGAAGCTTGTAATCTTGGTGGACTAAAAAAAATATACAAAATTGTTTTTAAAAAAATATGAGTTTTATTTGAAACTATTTCATGAACAAGGCAAAAAAAAAGTGTTCTTTTCTGTAGAGTATTGGTTTGAAAATTGAATTCAATTTTGATGGTTTCAGGCCACATTGACATTTTTCAAAAACATATTAAAATTATTGTGTTGGTGAAAAGGACTATCTGTAAGCAAAATTACCAATGAAGATTTTATGAAATTTGAGCTGATTCTAATTCAGAAAAGTGTCCAAACTGACCCACCTTGTAATAAGTCAAGTCCAGTGACCGAATGCTGATCCGATTGACTTGATCATCAGCTGATGTTTTGTCTTTTTTCAATAGTGTTTATTGAAGAAAGATGAAACATAAACAGCTGGTGATCAAATTAATCGATTCCAGAAAGGCCTTTGATAGCACATTTTTAGTATATTTTTAATAAAACAGTTTATTTCGCAATATAAAATAACTAACAAATAAATAATATATTTTATATAAATAGTAGTTTACAAAAGAAAATACTAAAACTAAAAGATGAATTTACTTAGAACTAGAGTAACTTAAACTTAAAATAGCTAAAAGTTCAAGAATAAACACTTAAAACCTAAACAGTCCTAAGTGTTTGTCTTAATAAGATATTTAACTTTAGATGTTAAAACATTAGATTGTCCACCAAATATAAATTAAATACTGGCAATTCCATTTTTATCAATTTGCTCTAGAAGACTTTTCAAATTAGTATCAAACAATTCGCATCTTATTGGCATTTCCAACGAATAAAATGGGTTTTTCAAAGCATAATCAGCATAAAGTTCATAAACCCTTTTCAAAAACACTTCGGACCCAATTTGATTCCGGTCCACAACCAGCATAATTTTCACTCCGGTAAGTGTCTGAAAACAGTGCAATCGAAAAGTGTCAGCTTCCAGTACTTCTATGCCAGAACTTTTGGGTTCAGGGCTTAGCTGGCTGGCAATAGCGAACAGTGGATAAAACATACTGGCTAGAAATATTTTCTCGTTTGTCGTCATTTTCGGACGACCAAATTTTAACATCAATGGGTAATTTTCTCTGTTTTCTAGAACTTCCATGGCATCTCTGCCATCGTCCAACTGCCTGCCTGTGATCATTATTCCATTGATGGAGTATAAAATATGGCCCACACAAATACCGTCTCGTTGTCCAAACTGAACCGATATTTTCTTGTTTTCGTAGTTTAGTTTTATGTCTAGAGGATAAGTGAACCTCTTTTCTGTTTCAATTTTAGGGACATTATGTTCCAGATTGAATATTAGCCCTCCGGACTTGGATACGATATAAATACCGTGTATAACCATAACGAGAACTGAGAAGTCTTTCAGATCATCAAATTTATAATTTTAATTTTTCAAAAAATTTATATTTGTATTGTATTTTGAATTTTTAGGAAACAAGAAAAATTGAAAAATTTGAAAATACATATTTATTTATCCAATCAGAAGTCAAACTTCATCAGCCAAGAGTGTCAACTGTCAAGTCGCAAGTGTCATACGGCCTAGGGAGGTACTTTCCAGTGGCCACTTAAGTTACTCTGAGCACCTCAGGAGTGTTCCGCAATTACTTTACGCGTTCCAGTGCTTAGAGTGTCGTACACTTGAACTGCTCATTAGTTGTATTCCTTTCAAGAGTTTGAAACCCTCGAGCTACTCGCTCCGGTGTTTAGTAGCCCCCGATTTGCAGGGAACAGATGCATGGTGCAGCAAAAACTTTTTGAAAGGAATAAGCGCGTGAAGCCCCGGAGCTGTTCCGGAGCTCTCTCCTGCCCCCTCGTGTACCTACCATTATTTCGGTGTTTCATGATCCGAAAGTCCTAAATGGTGGGGGTTAAGAAAATTGGGGTTATTTTCGTTCGGTTTTGACGGTTTCTATTCATCGCACACGAAAGCGTTCCAGTGCTGATAAGCTGCTTTCCAGTGCCTAAATTGTTAGAGTATCATGCTCCTGGAGTGCGACGCTCTTGAACTGGTCGACATAAGCAGCACTGGAAGACTTGAACGCTCTCATCTTAACCCCCATCGGACTTCAGGAGCATGGAACATCGAAATAAAGGTTGGGGCAGGGGATAACAGCTTAGACAAGGAAAGAGAGAGGACGCGTAACATCCTTTACCTGCACTAGCAGCTGGTTGAGGACGCGTAACATCCTTTACCTGCACTAGCAGCTGGTTGTGACCGTTTGCCACCAAATAATGGCGACAATTTTTCATGGTGCCACTATGTGAATTTTACTTCAGACTAACATTTTTGTGATATTCAGCATGATGGATTGCTAGCGTATGGCTGCAAAACCCGCAGAGAAAAAAAAGTCGACGGGATTACATTTAACAGGCAAAAAACAATATGCTTTCTAGGTTATGTTATGAAAAAAAGCAGACATTTTTTGGTGGCAAACTGCTTCATTTTCACCTGCTGTGTTACGAGTCCCCTCTCTTTCCTTGTCTAAGGATAACAGAAATAAGTAGTTGTGTACGACACTCTAAGCACTGGAACACGCAAAGTAATTGTGGGTCTCTGGAAAGCACTCCAGTATGCACATTGGCGCGCTCTAGAGCACCTCGGGGGTGCCACGCACTAGATTTATACCGTTCCAGTATCATGGCGTGAGACGCCTGACTTAGGGCGGGTATTATAAAACTGCTTTGACAGTTAACTTTTTGAATTACATGTAATTTCAGAAGTTAACTTTAAGTTAACTCTCAAAGCAGTTTTATAATACCCGCCCTTAGTGTCAAATATGTCAAATTTTAAAAATAATCATCTGTTTGTTTGTGCAGTTTGTTTTTTTTATTTATCAAAAATGAAAGAGAATCAAAACTTATATTTCGAAAATGTTCAATCCCGGGATATAACCAGTGATGCCGTTTTTAGTACATTTGTACTAGATTTAGTACACTCTAGTGTAATTTAGTACGTCAGTACACCATCGAAAATTTTAGTATACTTTAGAGAAAAATTACTGCAAAAAAAATGCACCTATCTCTATCCTTACATTTTATATGCTTTTAGCAAAAGATGCAGAGTACGAAAACACTGGTATTGTATACAAGGTTCCTAAAGTTAATAGGTTGTCTGGTAATGGGTAACTTCATGACGCATCTGGGGTGCCTTAGGGCCGGTATTATAAAGCCTGGTTGACCGAAAGTTGAGTTTCAACCAGCGATTGAATTGACATTTCCGTATGATTTTATACCATTGAGTTTTTTTTTACGGACATTTTATGTGTGGCTAAATTCAGCTGGTGTAGGCACCGTGGTAGAATGGTAGAAAAAGCAGTGTTGTTATATTAAGGGCGGGTATTATAAAACTGCTTTGACAGTTAACTTTTTGAATTACATGTAATACCAGAAGTTAACTTTAAGTTAACTGTCAAAGCAGTTTTATAATACCCGCCCTAAACAGGGTTTAACAAGCTGTGGTTTGGCATTGACATTAGTGAATTTTAATCACCGCATCCGTGGCGGTGCACCATTTTGGTGAATTTAGCAACACGCGGATTTTAGTTCAACCGTCGGTTGAAATTCAACCTTCGCGTCTATCAAACAACCTTGGGTATTGTCTGTATTATCGTTTAATCGAATGAACGATGTCATAACTCAGAAATTACAACAACAAAAATTCGTTTCGTCGCGTCACTCGCATAGATGCTTAAAATCTGTGTTAAAATTGTTAGGTTAGATATTTAGTACATTTTTAGGTAATTTAGTACAAATCATAGCCAGATTTCAGTACTAAATTGGTTTGTCTCGCGGCAACACTGGATATAACAAGAAATAAATAAATAAGTAGCCATCCACGGATGTGACAGCTGACAGGTTGACGCGTACGTACAGCTCGGGAGCTGAACGCTCCGAGTAGCTCCGGGCGTCACACTCCCATACTGGAAAGCGGCTCTTATTGCTTATGCCGAACAGTTCAAAAGCGTCACACTCCAGGGTCCTTATTCTTGAAACAGGAGCATTGTTCTCAGGAGAACCAATGTTCCGTCATTGTTACTTATATTATCATTTCCATATCATTGAGAAAGACAGAACACTCGTTCTCCTGGGAACGCTGCTTCCCTGTTTCAAGAATAAGGACACAGGAGCGTGATACTCTAACAATTTTGGCACTGGAAAGCAGCTAAGAATGCGTTCAAAATCAGTCTGGGCGTCACACTGAATGTGCACACGTTGACTAAAACACAAATTTTGCGCTTATGGAGACATAAACCGAATTTTCGTGACGAATGTAGTTCATCCAAGGACGAACCATAGATCGTCTGTGACGTCAAGAGTTTGAGCGCTGGCTAGAAGCTGCGTCCATGCTTTTGACGAACTATGTTCAATATGACGTCATGAGTTTCCGCAAAAGCGTTTGTGTTCATGAAGTCGTGGAAATTCGGTTATGGGAATAATTTGCTCGGAAATAGGCGCTAAAAAATGACAAATGAAACTTAAAAAATTCGCTTTTCGCGATTTCGCATCTATGGAGACTAGGCTTAACGAATCAAAGTGAAACTTATGACCGCATTTACATTGAAGAAAGATTCAAAATAGCGGACTTCTTCAAAAATTACCTAGTTTTGGATCAAGGTTGTTTGAGAAAGGTAGGTTGCCTGATAACTTTATAACGTCATCTGGGGTGCCTCAACAAAATTCAAATCTGCATAAGGCACCCCAGATGCGTCATCAAGTTACCCATCAACAGACAACCTATTGTTTGCCCAGCGGTTCTGAGTCTACGGAAGGAATTCGGACGTAAATGTACGATGTTGTCACGTTTAATTATAAAAAAGCGAAAATACTAGGTATGATATATAGTTCATTTGAAAATCCATTTTTTAATAACAAAATATAGATAACAATAATAAAACGTTAAATATTTTAACGTTGTTGTTCGATCTATTCTTATTTAAATACCTGATTTCTTCAATTTGGTCTATTGTATAAGATAGACATTTTCTATAGATTCCATCAGCTTTTGTCAATTTGGCAAGCATCCGGCCTGGATGACCCTGATTGGTGGAGTTTTTGGCATTATTGCCGTTGCCACGGGGAACCATGCCGTTGTCAATGGGTTAACGTCACCTTACGTCTCGCTGTGGTGCAAACAACCTACGTCAAAATCAACGGCCAAGGCGAAAAAAGACACGCTGAATACATCATCACTGGTACTTTGGCGCTTGGTGAGGGGCGTGAGAGTGAACTACGCAGGCCCCATAGGATAAGCTATGCCTATATATGTATAAATCCTTGCCCTCCACTCGCCGTAAAAGTGGAACTTGCACAATTAGGGCGAGACCCTACGGGCGTAATTGACGTAAGCGTAACTAATCACATGATTTAATTTGTACGATTTCATTGGCGGCAGTGCAGCCATCTTGAATTTTTGACATTACGCTGCCACTACGGCAGAAAGATGGCAAAAAGTCGGGTTTTGTTGAACTTTTCGGCGTAATCGTGGCGAAGTTGTGACGTTTGTTTTTGTTTCTTCTGATATATGAGGTGGGTTCGGCTTGTTCACTCCGAGTGACTTCATTCGCACTCCAGCCGTTCAGAGCCGCTTCCAGTATGGGAGTTTGACGCCCGGAACTACTCGGGGCGTTGAGCCCCCGAGCTGTACGTACGCGTCAACCTGTCAGCTGTCACATCCGCGGGCGGCTATTTATTTATTTATTTCTTGTTATATCTCAAGATTGAACATTTTAAAAAATATAGTTTTGATTCTCTTTCATTTATGATAAATAAAAAAACAAACTGCACAAACAAACAGACAATTATTTTTAAAATTTGACATATTTGACATTAAGACAGGCGTCTCACGTCATGATACTGGAACGGTACAAATATAGTACGTGGCGCCCCCGAGGTGCTCTGGAGCGTGCCAGAGCGCACCAATGTGCATACTGGAAAGCGGCTCAGGTATTGCTTTTTGGCGTATTAGGGGTGACTCCATTAGCGTTCCACTATATGGAGTGGAGTAAATGGAGATCACTCCAAAAGTTCCACCTCGGAAAGAGAATTTTTCAGAGTAAGCATGCGCAGAGGTGAAATGTGGAAACTGTCAAGCTTGTCACGTTGTGGTTGTTGTTAAAAAAATTAAAAATCGTTTATGTGGTGTGGATGCGGGAATTGGTAAAATCATCGAGTAAAATAATTGATCTGATTTTAAAATTTATTTAACATGATGGGAAAAGTTCCTTGGCAAAGTTAAACAGACGCAAAAGCATCATATTATTCATTATTGTGGAGGGATTGAAGTTAATTTATAGTACACGAAAGACCAAAGACAAAACTGAAAAAAAAAATTGGAAACCCGGA